CTAGGCTGGTGCAGGCAGGCAGGAAATTATTCCTGTGCCCAGCCGAGCTGCCTTGCCTTACCTGCTGCCTGAGCCAAGCCTCTGTGCAGTGTTTGAGGTTTGTCCATCACTATTTAATATCGGCATCCCTGACCCACTGCCCCCTCCCCGGGGAGGCTCCAAAGGGCTGTGTTTGTATGCGACACACGCAGACAGACAGCAGACGGGAAGCGCCCGTCAATCACAGCTCCTTTCAGTCTGTCAGCTCAAAATAAAGGGAGAAAGAGGGGGTAGTGACTCTGATGAGAAACTGGGGCTGCCCGTACACCTCCCCCTGCATCGGTGTCAGAGAGGACATGGGATGAGCTGTCCCAGAGGTGCCTCCAGACACGTGTAGAAATTTCTAGGTTTCAGTGATGCTGCATGGATGGGAAACCCAAAAGGAGAGGTCTGGGATGGCTTTCTTGAGGAAGAGGGATTGTGTAGAGAAGTGAGACTTTGTCTCAGAGAAAAGAGGGACATCTGTAAGGCTGGCTAGTTTGTTTAGGAACCTTCCAGCAGAAATGTTGCATTTCTGGAAATGGCAAAATATTTTGTTTCAAAATCTTCTTGAATACCCTGCCCCCCCCCCCTTCTGTTTCAAAACTGTGGATTTTCATTTCAAAAGGGACCTAAATACAAAATAATAATTAATAATAATAATAACGCAGATTAATCAGTATAGAAACAGGAACATTTGTAAGATCAGAAGCAAAAGGTTGTCTGTTGTGATAAAAATTGCTGGCATCACCATATTTTGTCCCAGTTTCTGCTAGATTGAGTGGGTTTGTTTTGATTTACAAATTGTCACTGTCTGTGCTTCAATGAGACTTTCACTGAGCTGTCTGTGGCAGGCTGGGTTTCTACTGAGCATCACAGTGCTGAGCAGGTCACCCTGTCCAGTGTCCTGCACTGTGCCTGCCAGCTTCCTACGTGGTTAAACAAACCCAAAGGCTGCTAGCCAAGCCTCATTTAACTTTTGAACCCCAGGCTACGAAAGGAAAAATTGTCTTCTGCCATCCCCATGATGGCAGTAATGAAAGCACTTCTATTGAAATCTAAGGGTAGGTAATTTGTTCTTGGTTTAAAATCTGTTGAAGTCCCACCCTTCTCTTCCGTGCAGTCTCCTATAGAGAAATGTCATCCAAAGTCCCCTTTGCAGCTGAAGGGAGGCACAAAGAGGGAGAGAGGGGACAAAGTATCTCATGTGTTCTGCAAGGAGGGAGCTGGGCACAGAGCTGAAGATCTCAGAGGTGGAGGAAAACATCTCTGGATCCAGGCTGGTGTGCCTTGCTCAGGCAAAAATGTTAAATTAATTGCTAGATCTGGTGCTGGAAGAAAACTTCCTTTCAGCCCCATCTCTGGCTGACCAGTTGGGTTACCTGTGCAGGAGTTGTCTGTGCTAGAGTTATCCTATGTGAGGTTGCCCTTATTATGGGGTTGTTCTCCAGTGGGATTGTTCATGCATGGGGTTACCCATACATGGGTTTATCCATGGGGGGATTGTTAACCATGCATGCTCTTCCTCCCCAGTTCCTGTACAGGAGCTGGTACTGCCCAGGCCTGTTCCAGGACTGTAGAGATCTGGGATGCCCTTTGCACTCTCCCCATTACTACCTGTGGTAGGCTGAAGTTTTTATGCTGTGACCTTTTACTGCCTAAGATCTTGGTTTATTGTGGATTTATAAGGAGCTCTTAATGGTTTTATACTGTGAAAGAGATTTTATGGGGATTTCTCTGCATCTCACATTGCCCAGGGATGGGGGAGTCCTGCATTGGACAGTGAAAGATGACTGGTCCGTCTGGCATCTCTCAGTGGGAGCTGCTGGGACCTCAGCAATTTGGAAAGAAAGTAATTTATTCAGCAACTTAAGTACAGCTTTAAGTGTGTAATATTAGGCATCCATTTACCTAAATCTCACACCTTCCTGTTTTGCAACATGCTTTGGGCTTAGAAACATCCATCGCTAGGTTGGTGCTACTGTGCTTAATTGGCAAAAGTTTATGGTTCTTTAATCAGTGTCCTGGAAATAGAGATTTTGGACGCATTCACTTGTAAAGATCAGATAGCAGTAATGTAATAGCTTATTAATATTTTATTACTGAGAGCAGTTAGTAATCCCAACAGGTAAAGCTTCATTTCAACAGGGTGAGAATGTGTTACCAGAGCAATCAAATCACCTTCACTTTGATATGAGAGACATAATAAAAGACAATTACAAAAATATTAACACAAGCCTGAGTTTCTCAGAGCTGGGACAAGAAGAAAATAACCCTTCAGAAGGGATGCTTTAGAAGGAATATACATCCCTTTCCTTCCAGGGTAGTCACTTGGGTCTTGGAAATACATACATCTTAGAGACAGAGAGTTGTATGGAAACCTGGGAAATTAAAATTGAATGTACAAAAATAAAAGCTACTAATAGCATTACACAGAATTATAAACTCCCTAACCTCCACCTTTTGTTTGAGGATTTTCCACTTTCCGTAGTGACACTGGTGTTTTATGAAAATTTCACAACACCTCTTTCCTACTTCTTGAGGTATGCTACAATTTGTGACTTTCCCAGGATTTGGCTATCATGGGGAGAGTGATGCACCCCATTCTCATGCTCGCCCCCACCATTTTGGGAAAACTGAGGAGGGAGTGTGCATAGCCCACATGCTGGCATGAAGTGTCCATGAGAGACCCCAAGGCGAGAGGGAGCCAACACCAATAAACTGGGATACATTTGGGTACCCCATTCCCAGCCCTTCAAGCCGTCAGCACCCTCAAAGGCTGGCAGGCACCACTGGCAGGTGGCAGTGTCCCTTTTCACCCTGTGAGAGGTGTGCACGTCTGGCAGGCAGCTGTTTGCCTCTGGAGCTGGGTGCTCACCAGCTGCAGCACTGGGCACTGGGAGGTGATGCTCTGTGGCTGACCCTGCCCTCAGCATGGGGAGGCCGGCATTATCCTCTGCTCCTGCACATAACTGCCCTCCTCGTACTGTGGAGGACACTGCCCTGCCCAGGGTCACTGGCTCCGTGCAGGCAAGAGATGGGCATAGATGCAGCCACCTGCTGCCGACTCTCCCAGGCTTGCTGCCTGCAAGGCAGAACCTGCCTGTCCCCCTCTGGCAATTTGCACAGCTGGCCTCCTTCTTTATCAGCTGTTGGGCAGCTGAAGTGGTGACAGGAAATGAGATGACGCCTGGCTGGGATTTCGTAGGAGCAGAGGCTGTGCATGGGCTGCAGCAAGGTGCGTGCACCTTTGCTGCTGGGGATCTTCTGTTGTGTAGCATCTCTGGTGTTACAGGAGGCTTCGCTTTGGGAGGTACCTCTGGAACACAAAGACACACACATGCCTTATTCTGCCCCTTGTCTCCTTGTTTTATGGGCTATCGAGCTCACCACAAAAATTTTGTAAAATGATCACCGTTTTCTGAGGGTTTTGCTGTAAGAGTTTTGCTTACGTCTGGTCCTCTCCTTGTTGGGCTGGGGCTGGCTCAGCACTTTCCGTTTCCTATGCGGGTTTTTTTGTTTAGTAACTGCCAAAAAAAGAGAAAGGATTGAAAACCCACTGGTGGGTGCAGGGCTGCCCTTCTTCCTTCCCCTCCCAGCCAGTCATCCCAGCACTGCAGCCCCCCAGCACCTCAGGTTTTCCCTTGGAAACACATGGGATGGGACCACAGAGGTGGGAGCTATCTGGGGTTGGAGGAAGGCTGGATGCATTGCTCCCCATGCAGGTCCCTGGGGCATCCCTGGGCTGGGACATGGGCGATGCTCGGAGATAACCTTCACAGGATGTGTGCTGACTTCTGACTTCTCTTTCTGAGCCAAGGTCATCAAGACAGGGGACTAGTAATGTCCAGTTCCCACAGATATTTAGGACAAGGCTGAGTAAACAGTGACTTTTTTTTCCTTATGGGGCCCAAGCCAAAAATACAGATATCTGGGGGTATCTTCAAACATCTCTACTGGGTGAAACATCCCATTCACTTAAAACGTCCAGCCCAGGGATTAGCTCCAGGTGCCTCCAAATCCTCTCAAACCAACACTGATGTTGCTGCCTCCTCTCTGCTTACCTCAGTTTCCCCAGCTATAAATCAATGATCATGCTACTGAATTTCTTGGTAAGGACATTTAAAGTCAGAGAAAGAAAAGCTCTGTTTCAACCTACAGTGTTATTGCTGCTGTCATTATTATTTTTGACTTTTAAGTATAAAGCCAGTGTGCTGAAACCTGGGAATTGTACCATTAGTGATGCTTCACACACTGTCCCATCAATGTCAAGGAACAAGCTGAGATTTCTCTTTTCCTTTTGACATATTTAGTCTTCAGTCTGTCACCAGCCTTAACACAAAACTTGCTGTTGTAGAGATTTTTATGATATATTGGGTGTTTGATTATGGTTGCAAGCAGGAACAGAGCTGTGCCAGTGACCCAGGCCAGAGGGATGGGGTGGTCTGTGGGTGACTTCTTACAGTACTGATGCTTTCTTCAGGTGCTTCTTGAAAGACATGGATGAGCTTACTGGCTCCATTGCCATCTCCATCATCTCTTTATGTCTAGGTGTGATCTGGAGGCAGGTAGAAATGTAGGGTTGGCTTGGTAAAACTCATGTGTGTCCCATGTCTTGTGATGGTGGGAGCTGGTCTGTTGGGTTTGACACCTGTTTGATTTTCAGCTGGAGCATGCAGATGTTGGTGTCTTTGTCCTTTGGCTGCATTCATGGTAAGCACCTGGTAACAGATCAACCAAAAATGCTAAAGTTGACCCAAACGCAGCAATCCCCATTGGCACAGGGCAAGATGCAGCACGTGTCACTGCAGGGAGACAGTGCCACTGCGCCCAGCCCCTCAATGCAATCGAAGCACCAACGGGGTGACACCGTGATCCCGTGATGCCCATCTCCCTGCCACGGGTCCCAAGCACTGCGCCACCTGTGGGTGCAGCCGTGGTGCTGCCGGGCACCCCAGCGGGATCTGCTCTTGCTCCCGCAGGCTCTTCGCGGTGAAGTGTGCCGGCTGCCTGGAGGCCATCGCGCCCAGCGAGCTGGTGATGCGCGCCCAGAAGAGCGTCTACCACTTGCGCTGCTTCTGCTGCTGCGTTTGCGAGCGGCTCCTGCAGAAGGGCGACGAGTTCGTGCTGAAGGAGGGGCAGCTCCTCTGTAAGAGCGACTACGAGAAGGAGCGGGAGCTGCTGAGCTTGGTGAGCCCGGCTCTGTCGGATTCTGGTAAGGGGCCGCCCGTGCCCAGTGTCTTCCTGGCTGGTCCCGCTCTGAGGCCCCTGTGAGTGCAGTGGTGCTCACGAGAAGCAAGGTTTGGGCTCATTACCCTGAAACTCTGCCCCATGGTCCAAAGGGAAAAGTACATCACATTCTCCAACCGGAGTCTCTCCCACCTCAGTAGCAAGAGCATGAGTGGATACTTCAGGAGCAGAGGGTCTGCAGTGCTAGAGGATACTCTGGGGACCATCCCATCTCAATAGGCTCTTTCTGTAATGGTTTGTGCTCCTGGCCTGGGCAGCAGCACGCCATCCTGAGGGGCATACGTCCTCTCCAGGAGCAGGAGGGAGAGTCATGCTGGCCAAAGGTGACATCTCTCACCTCCTTGCCTTTGGAAATAGAGGAGCTGCCTCTGCTGTAAATACACTGTAAACAAGAGTTTTCTTTCTGAAAAATGTCATGGTCCCAAGCATCCCAGTGACTACCTTCTGTGTCCTTTCCCTGTGTATCCCTGTCCCAGACAGCAGACCCAGTGTGATGACACTGCTGGGACACCGAAGAGCCGAGGGGGGCTGCAGGAGAGGTGGTACCTAGCTGGCACCTGTAGGTGGGCAGGGGCCTGGCATCCTGCTCCAGCCAGGGTGTCACTGCCAGGCCAGGTTGCCCGGAACATCAGATCAGCACTAAAATATGTATTCACAGTCAATGCAAATAAAATCTGAATGTTTCCCAGGGAGACAAATTTAGTAAGAAAGCTCAGCAATGGTCACCAGGAGGGTGGAAATGATCTGCTAGCAGAAATCCTTCTGTTAACGCTGTCCCCATGGAGCCCTGTTTCTTGAGAGGCTGCACAACCCTATGCTGTGCACCTGGGTCACTCTTAAAACCCAACACTGGGGGGAAATCTGCCTTGTGGAGGAAAAGATTCAACTTTGAAATGCTGTGCTCTGGGAAGGGCTGACAGCATGGCTGGGGGGGAACCTGTCCTTTCCCTGCTAGAACAAAGCATTGGATTTAATAAAATAGAAATCAGTGTTACGAGCCTGCTTAGGAGCTGGTTAGGTTGTCAAGGTGTGAGGCAAGGCAGGTCACAGACGTGGCAAAGCCAAGTCCTCACTGCCAGGCACAGGCAATGATGCAGCTTGGAGCAGGTGTTGGGGGGGGACAGGGTGGTTTCAGTGGATATGGAGCAAAAATTGCTCAGAGCCCATATTTCTCTTTAGTATTGTGCTCCTCTGCAATCCCACTTGCTTGAAAGAAAAAAAAATCCTCCTCCCAGATAACGGTGATGATATTTAAACAGTAAAGAGTGAGGCAAGGGGCAGAGGTGGCTGAAGGCAGCCAGTGAGTGATGGTCCAATGCTGGAGTTGCTGGAGAGGCAGGAAAGTAGCAGGATCCAGCACACTGGTGCTGCCTCTTGCCTTAGCCCTGGGAAAGTCCTTAATGGAGTGAAGAATTATTATTTTTTCCTTCTGGGATATGCAGACTCTTTCAGATAAAATAGGAACTGATGAGGAGACATCTTGCAGGAAAATAAGTGAATTGGCCACAGCGGTTTGGGTTTATTCCTAATAGGGGAAAAGGGCAGTTTGGGAAAGGCTGGGAAGCTTTTCCTCCCCAGCGACTCATCGGCCAGTGGTCCAGCCCCCTGCCAGGGGCTCTAGCCAAACTGGGAACAACAAGCAAAAACCTCCAGGGGAAATCCTTATTTAGGTGGAAACTCCAGCTGAGACCCAAGGGATGCAAAGGGCCAATGTGGGAGTCAAAAGGGCACAGCAACCCCTTGGCTGGGTGGAAACCCAACCCAAAGCCCCAGCATCCCCTGGCAGCTACTGGTTGGGGGGTCCCAGCCCTTCCTGTCTCCCCACAGACCCCATAGCTTAGCCCCACTGTTGTTCCTGCCTGGTTTTAGTGGCCACCAACATTTTGTCTTGGGATGTTGTATGTCTTTGGAGGTGGTGGCTTAGTGGGGGCCAGCCCATGTGCACATCCCACATGGATTACCACCATGGGACGGCTTTGTCCCCTCCTGGTATGTCCCTCCTGGGGACCCCACCACCAGGCCGGGGGATGCAGAGGGAGCGTCTTCACTCTGGCACTGGTCCCAGATGCCCTTCACCAGCAGTGTGCGATGTGCTTGTCCAACCTCTCCCCTGTCTCCCCCTTGCTGCTTTGAAGACCCCCGGCCTCCCTCCCCCAGCCGCCGCGCACCAAAGGCCACTTTATGAGAAAGCACAGATAAAAAGGGAGCCATATGTTGTCTGTAATCTCCCAAACCCTCGCTTCAATTACCTCCTCCCCTGAGCCTCCGCCGCCCAGCCTAAGTAAACAAGCCCCTCTGAAAGAGGACCCCACTTTCCAATTAAAAGTGTCCTAACGTTTCTCCTCTCCCTAAATCCTCCCAAGTGAGGAATGTTCTGGCCCTGGCGGCGGGATGCGGGCTTGGCGGGTCGGACCAAGGGCATGCTGCACAATATCCATTGCTCCGGCCCCTTCCCAGGTGACGTCAGGGGCAGCCCCAGACACTCATTAATTTCTCCCCCCTCCTTGGTGGAGAAAGGCTTGAAAGGGAGAGTTAATTAAAAGTAATACCCTGCCAAATCCGGCTTCACTTTCCCTTCTTTCCCTTTGACACTGGGAGGGATTTGCGGAGCAGGTGTTGTGTGGGGGGCAGGGCTCTGGAGGGCTGCTGCGAGCGGGTTTTCCCCTTGGCATTGGTTTTGAGCATCATTTGCTTGATGGTGTCCATGAGCCTCTGGCTCCCCCCTGCTGGGCTCTGCCCCTTGCAAACTGGAGGGGATTGGGGCACCTGCCTCCCATTAGGATGTAAAGGGGTTCAGGCACTAAAATGTCCCCATTGGTTGACATTCCTCCTCCCTTCCCTCTCTACCCTTCCACCAAAATGAAGCTCCTTCAGGTTTCAGGAAAGCAGGCAGCTCAGCAGAGTAGACTCTGTGCTGGCACTGAGGAGGCAGTGACAGCCACTGCTCAGCCCCGTTAGCCATCAGACTCCACACCCAGCACCCCTAGCACTGGGCTTCTCAGACCCACTGTGTTGCCATGTCCCTTGTTTTGGGACACTCAAGAAAACAGCAATTTGCCTTTCCCATTGCCACTGCTGCCATGGGCACACTGTGGCTGTGCAGGGAGCTCACAGCAGCAACAAGGCTTTGTCTCCTGGGGGCCAGCATCTAGCTCCAGGCTGTTTGGGGATCACCAGTGTGAAGATCTCTCCCTGTCCCAGCATGCCCAGCCCTAGCCACAGGGAAGGTCTCTGTATCAGCTGATGAGCCCAGGAGAGAACCCAGCAATGTGGACGGAAGAGGTAACTGTTACCTTAGAGCATCCTTGCTCCTCCACTGGAATCACTGCCTCACCTTGCTCTGCAGAGCTGCTCCTGTCATTCCTCATTCCTGACTGGGCTGCCACTGGATTTATGCTTTTGTGATGCGTGTGATCCATGATTAGGTCTTGCCATGGGGTTCAGCCTGACCTGCTCACACCATGAATTACTATGAGCTAGGCTTACAACTCCCTCATGCATCCCCATGTCCCAGAGGCATAACAGCCTTGCAGCCTGCAAACCAGCACCTCAGTTCTGTTATCAATTCCTGAATGGATGGTGGAGGAACTTTCTGGAAAAGGCTATAAGCAAATAACAGCTTGTGAGTGAGAAGGACCTGTGCTGTCAGACTTGCATTACAGCCATCACACAATGGCTGAGCATGGGAGGCTGTCAGCATAGTGGTGATGCAGAAAATGAGGAGGGCTGGTAAGGTGTTTTCCTGGAGCAGCTTCTGCCCAAAGGTCTTGCAGCCCTGCACGGTGGAGGCCAGCAGGGAGATACACATCAGTGCCTGGGAATGCAATGGAGCAGCACATTGCAGCAAGTACCTGAGGGGTGAAGCTTGAAGCAGCCTGAGCTTCTGGCTAGAGAGATTTAAAACTCCATGGAAAGGGGAAAATATAGGCCTGGTCACAGCCGCAGAGCAGGCAGGGATTTGGGTCTGATGGAGGGAAAATCAGATGTCCTAGGATTTCACATTGCAGCTGTTCAGACTGTTGGGGCAAAGAAGAACCCAAAAGCGCATTGGCAGGCTGAGCAGCCCCAAACTATGAGTCACAGCAGCTTTTACCCTCTCTGACCTGCTGTGGGGAAGGCAGCCCCAAACTTCAGCTCCTCTCACACATTCACAGGAATATTCCCACCAACACCAGCTTAAGTCCCCCAGATATTTTTGGACATGCTGGGAAATGGAGTGCATGGCCTGTTGTCTGTAAAGGACTTGCTTCTTCCCCCCCCCCCTTAGGCAAAAGTGACGATGAGGACAGCATTTGCAAACTGGGCCAAACCTCAGGGAAGGGTGCTGAGGATGGGAAGGATCACAAGCGTCCCAAGCGGCCGCGGACAATCCTGACCACACAGCAGCGGAGGGCATTCAAGGCATCGTTTGAGGTCTCCTCCAAGCCCTGCAGGAAGGTAAGGGGAGAAGGGCCCATGCTCAGCTGCCTTCAGCTACTGGGGGTGTCCTGGATGCTGAGCAGGGACTTGTCCTGGCTGCTCTGTTCCCTCCCGAAGTCCCCCTGAAAGGCAGAGTGGGCTGAGATGCTGCTGTCATTCCTTCCTCCAAGGTTCGGGAGACGCTGGCAGCCGAGACAGGGCTGAGTGTCCGTGTGGTGCAGGTCTGGTTCCAGAACCAGCGAGCAAAGGTGGGTACAAGGGGTAGCCCCCACTAAGGTTGGTGCTGGGGCTCCCCTCCCTCCTCACTTTGGCCAGGGAATGATTTCACCCTGGTTTTCCCATTCTTCTCACCCAGATGAAGAAGCTTGCCAGGAGGCAACAGCAGCAGCAGCAAGATCAGCAAAACACACAGCGCCTGAGCTCAGGTACCCCCTCGCATCCAGTTCTCCTTGCATTCAGGATCTCCCTATTTCCCAGCCCTCTCTGGGCTTCCCAAGGGAGCTGGGCCCCCCAAAAAAGCAGCACCCCCACTGCACTGACAACTTGCTCTTATCTTCCAGCCCAGACCAATGGTAGTGGAAGCGCAGGGCTGGAAGGAATGCTGAACCACTACACCACTCTGCCCCCACCCCAGCAGCTGCTGGGCATGGATCAAAGTGTCTACAGCTCCGACCCTTTCCGGCAAGGGCTTACCCCGCCACAGATGCCCGGAGACCACATGCACCCCTATGGTAAATCTCTTGCCTTCTGCCCTTCATGGAGATGCTGGGCTGCGGTGGGGGGCTGTGTGGTGGAGGCATGCATGGGGATGCAGTGATTCTGGAAGATGGTGGTCACCTCACCGCTAAATCCTTACACTCCAAAAGCTGGGGGTACCTGGCACTGTCACGGTGCTGGAGGAGAATGCAAGCTCTGAAGCCCTTCTGCTCCTTCCCTGCTTCCCAAGGTGCTGAACCGCTCTTCCACGACCTGGATAGCGATGATACCTCACTGAGCAACCTGGGTGACTGCTTCCTCACCACGACTGATGCGGGGCCGCTCCAGGCACGAGTGGGGAATCCCATCGACCACCTCTACTCCATGCAGAACTCCTACTTCACCTCCTGAGCGTGACGTGGGCCCCAGCACACGGCAGCCACCACTCTGCTGCGATGCTCCAGGAGGGGCTGCAGAGCCCCTGGGGTTGGGAGGGAGGGGAAAGTGACACTGCTGAGATGCTGTCAAACAATATGTTGTAGCTTGGGATTCTCAAGGAGCGAGTTAAGTTATGGGCTGCATAGTTTCATGTTTCTCTTAGGAGCCTAGGATTAGGGACAGGAGTGGTTGTTGCAGCTGGCTGGTGGATTTTCAAATTTCAAACGGGGAACCAAATTTCTTGTTTCAGCAGGAGGAAAGGCAGGGGGAGGGGCATGCTCCTGTGGGAGCATCCCGGTGCCCTGTTCCCTCCACACCACCTTCAGTTTGATCAGAGGAAACTGCTGATCTTCAAGGAGAGAGCCTGCAGCATCAGCCAGGGTTTGAAATTTGAAAAGCTGACAATGCCTTGGAGAAATAAGGGGAAAATTTCACTTCAGGGTTTTCCCTCTGTTCCCTCTACCAGCTTGAGCACTCACTGTTTAAACACAGGGACTTTTAAGACAGGTGTTCCCATGTGAATATAGAAAGCTAGAAACCCCTAACATCACCCCTGTCCCTGCGGACGGGGCTGTGTGTGTGTATGTGTGTGTGAATGGGCACACACGTGTGTGTGTGTGTGCAGAGCTGTGTGGCTGTGGGTGATGTCCTACACAGCCACACCTGCCAGATTGTATCAACAAAGTTTATTTCTAAGTCTATCAGAAATGTACTGTACAGCAAAAGTAACTTTATTTTCAGCGTGAACCATATTTAAGGAAACACTCAATGCACTTAAGTTATAAGATGAAATAATTTACTTTTTATAAACGTTATGTTTAGGTTGCAAAAGCCCAGTGGCAGGGAAGGAACATCAGTTCATTTCAGGCAACAGGTTTGGATTTTGGGGTTGGTTATTTTTGGTGCTCTCGGGTTGCCCTACTGTTTTTGAGGTGCAACTGAAACCCAAAGTAGGGCTGGCTCCAATTACCTGCTCCTCTGCCAGCAGATTGATGGGGACAGCATGGTGGCCAGATCCCCATCTGGACATGTTCAGTGTGGGGTTAGTGCAAGGTGGAAAGCACTGCTGGACCTGGTGGATATCCGGGCCCATCATGGCTCAGCCATGCTTCTCTCTATCACCTCTCTCCTTCCCACAGCTGGACCAAGCCTGCCTCCACCAGCAACTCCATCCTGTACCCTCAAATATGGGTGCTAGATGAGTGTGAACTGCTGTCATGGCTCTGGAAAACACTGCAGCCTGTATCATCACCCCTCAGGCAAAGGAGAAAGGAGGCATTTTCCTTCCTGTGTTCATCCCTGCCAAAGCCATGGGAACCTGGGGAAAGTTCTCCTTAGGGTCAAGCCTTCAGCTGACCCTCACCTCATCCCCACTCTCGTTTTCATGCATTGTGTCCTTTTGTGCTGCTGTTCACAAATGATGTAAGCAACAACCCGTAAAGACATGCAAGTGACTGTGAGGCTCAAACACTGGCTTATCGCCACTGTACGATCTGACACTGAATGTAGCAGGTTCCAGAGATGGCTGACCCGGTGGGAGATGCTGACACACTGTCAGAAATCGCGTACCAAGATGAAATTAAAAAGACAAAAAAATCTCTGAAAAAAAAAACAACAACAAAAAACCAAACAGCCTGGTCTTTTCTTGCAAGGGGTGTCCCCTTGACTCTGAGAGGGAAGGTTTTGAATCATCTCCACATTCAGCAAGGTGTTGGGTAGCGTATAGCAAGACCATGGGGGAAGCTTCTGCTCCTTGGGTTTCCTATATTAAATGTTCCCTGGTCTGGGAGTAAACTGGACCTTGCGGGTCCTCCGTGGCCAGGGGACAGATTGGTGGGTCTGGAGGGTGACATCTATCCCTGGCTCCCTCCCAGGGTAGCAGTGAGGGGTTTGCTGGGAAGGCATTTCTGCAGGCCAAGTTAGCCCATAAGAGCTTTCACCTGGTCTGTTACTTCACTGTAACCACCAATCCTCCATGGCAGAGCCATGGGCAACTCCATGTTAGGACTACCTAAAAGGTATGGATAGGTGTTTTCCAATAGGAGCTTCTCTCATTCCGGGTCTCTGACATGGAGAGGTTCAACAAATATGTACAGATGGTACCAAATTGGGGATATGGATTCACAACTCATTGTCTGAGGTGTTAAAAATAACATGCTCTCCTTCCTGCCTTTCATCAGTCACTGTTCTGCTGTTTCTGTGCTATAAAATGTTTTCCAAGACCAACCTGCAGAAAAAAAAATATTCTCAAATGGTGTGACTCTCTAAAGAAAACTTGATTTTTATTTTGCAAGATGTAGTTTCCTAGGAACAGTCTGGATTTCTTGGATTAGTTTGGGGGTTTGCTCTATTTCAGGGTAGAAGAACATGGTGCCTGACCCTATAAATTGCAACTGCTTCAAAACCCCTGAGCAGCCCCAACCCAGCACTGTCCAGTTTGTTCCAGATACCAAATCATGTCTTGGGATCAGGGTGCTGGGTAGCCTGCCTGACCCAAACTGCTTGAAACTCCATTCTGGGTCATCCTGCAGCTATTTCCCCTTGCTCCCCAAAATGAAGACTTACTTTTAATCACTTTACAGGCTCTATTTTCTCTTAACAATAACTGTGATTACAGAACATCTCTGAGCCTTTATCCGGCCTCTGCTGCCTCAAAAATGAGCTGAAAAAACACAGCAGGAAGACTAGAGAAATGTCTGACATGTAGGAGAAGGCTTTCCATGGAGAATTAAAAAAGCTGTATTTTGGTGCAAGGTCTTCTCTTCCCTTTCATCTGTGCCTGTTTGCTCATTTGGGATGTAATTAGTGAGTCATTAGGTGAAAGTGTTTCAGGAGGGAGGGCAAAACCTTACAAAAGCAGGCTTCACAGGTTGCCTTGCTTTGGGAGGAGGTGGGAAGATGTGCCCTAGGAAGCTGCCTGGTCTGATTTGTGATGATCTTGTGAAGGACAGCAGGGTAGATGCTTATGTGTAAATTTTGCTGTGTTTCTAAAGCCCTTGCTCTTTCTAAGAGAAAATGATGTGTTGGAAAATTTCTTTCTAGAGACTGTAGCATTTGTGTGTACTTTTACAAAGTACAAGGGTGATACCTGTTGTAAGTGCTAGTGTTTTTTAATGTTAGCCAAGCATGGTTTTTGGACTGGTTGTCTCCAAACCCCACTTCTGGATAAATGACATGGAAAGGCAAAATCGTGTACTTGATTTTGGTGCAGGAGAGCTCCAAAGCATCAGGGTAAAGGGTTAGACATGTTCTGGCATGGGCAGGTTGGGGAAATTATAGCTTGAGATTTCTCTGTCACTAGGCTTGGTGGTCTTGGAGCAAGGCTAGCTGGTGCTAGTGGAGCAGAGGGAATTTGAGCTGGGGTGAGGCTGATAGTCACTGGTGGCTGGAGGTGGAGATGTGCTTTGCTTGTGGAAAGGGAGTTTACCTGGGGGAGATGAAGTATGTGTGGTGTGGAGGAGCTGCTGTGAGCCATGAAGCCAGCATCAGCCTGATTTGTAGGATTCAGCTGCTGGCAATGCCTTTGTTAGCACTACCCAGGTCTGCAATAGAAAAATAGATGTTTTCATTAATGGTTATTAACATTGTCTTAAAAATTTCCCTCAATCAGATGCTTCTTAAAACACATTTAAACTTGGGGTTATTTAAAATCTTTTGAAGATAAAAGGCTTGTCTTTCCCACCCACAGCCATCTCCTATTTGGAAAATGTTCACCTACATCAGTCTGGTTTTCTATCAGCCTAACGATCAATTTACACTTACAGAATTACTTCCCAGGAAACAAACCCTCCATAAAACCCATGGCATACAGACAGGCTGCCTACTTTTAAAATCTTGCCAAGAAGTACTGACATGCTATAATAAGAGTACCTCAAGGTGTGTGTATGTATAAAGTTATTGTATACAGTATCTAATTTGGGGAAGGATCAGTATTGTGGAAGGGGGCAGATCTTTGTCTAGTGAAATCAGCAGAATTTATGGTCTTAAACCTGTCTTAGAATCATAGAATAGTTAGGGTTGGAAAGGACTTTATGATCATCTAGTTCCAACCCCCCTGCCATGGGCAGGGACACCTCACACTAAACCATCTCACCCAAGGATTTGTCCAACCTGGTCTTGAAACCAGGCCTTCCTTCTGCAATTTGACCTGTGTGCTTGACACAGCCTGAACAGGAGTCCAGCTTGCAATTGTGCAATGCAGTAGCAGATGTGGGTCCTCCTGTCATCTGGATTTCATATTCTGATGTGCCATATTTCAGGGTATGGATGGATCCTGCCAAAGAAATACTGGCTGAGCCTTATCTTCTGCAGGTGATGGAGTCACTGCGTAGCAGATGACTTCTTGTCATGCTGGGTGGGTTGTGAGTTTGCTATGTTCAGGACTGGACCCCTTGGGATATACTGTCATGGTGCTGCTTTACCATGTTGTGCTCCATGTCTGAGCCCACTCTTGGCCTTTGGAGCAACTCCCTGGGACAAATGATACCTTCTTGTCAAAGCCAGAAAGAAAAGATCAAGGTCTGACATGAAAGCAGGTTCTACCTTGCTCTCTAATACAAGGACAATGCCAGGAAAGTGTTGGGAGCTGACTGTTGTGTCTCTAGTGGCTCAAAACAAAGCTTCCTCTGTTCAGGCACTGTTCGGTGGCCAAGAAAAGATCAAGTCAGAGATTACTTTTCAGTTGAGGACACTGATTAGATGATACAGATAGGCATCCAGCTCTGAGTGATATCATGTTAATTAACTTTCTCTTTGTGAATGCATGATACAGGAGCTTGTGGCAGATGCAGACTGGAATGAAACTCAACATGGTATTGGCCAGTACTGTCTGGGTTTGAATCTGGAGATTTAAATCTTGATGGTCTTTTCAGGTATTTGTGGAAGACTCGTAGTGCGTAGACATAGAAGCTGGAGCAAGCAACCTTCCCGGAAGTGTGTGACCTTGGTAGCAGATGCTGTCTAGATGAAGGACTGGATCCTTGCCTT